TTAAATTTGACCGCTTTTTGTTTCAAGTAGAATTTATGATGCGCAAGGTTTTTTATTTCGTTTGTCATCCAAGGACAGTGCTCACTTTTGACTTTCCGAATCCGAAGTGGAGCATGCATATTTGCAATATCAAGAAAAATAGCTTTCCATACCTCCCACGCATGATTTGGGTCGGCATAATTATAGAGGTTTTAGCGCCCTTATTGCACATTTGACTATTGTCTCAGTGACAATTAACTTTAATTGAAATAGCTGTATAAGATATGTTATGAATAATATATAAGCACTACGACGTTACATAATCAAAAGGACGCATTTTATCCCCATCCATTCCGTATTTTATCCCCATATCCGTTCCGTGTTTATAGCAGTTTTGACAAGCTTTGATACAGCTCTGTACACAGATTGATTCTCGTAAGATCTGGTAGAGTTATCGTTGCACTGAATGCGAGTTTGCACCAGGGCCGCGTTTACACAACTCGGGGCCCGTAGCATTTTCTTCGCGCGGGGCCCCAAATATTTGCCTTCTCTATAGACTATAACCTGGAAATTTACCTCGTTTTAAGTATAAATCGTAGCGACGTGGCGTTCGCTTCGCATATAGCAACTCTAAAGTCTGAGACAAAATTAATAATAATAATAATAATAATCTGTTTAATTAATCACATTGCAGTCTCTACTGAATTACATGATTATAAGTAAATACATTAAAAATTAAATTTACAGATAAAATTGAGTTCAAACCGTTCAATGTTCGTTCTGAATAGTCAGTTTAAATCTGTCCACAAATTATAATTGGGTCCCTGAATTAATATACACGAGTACTACTAAATCAATAATACATTAATAATTATATTTGACAGTTATAAAATTTTGAAACCGTTCTGTGTTCGTTTGGAGTGACCAGCTTGATTCGGACCTAAGATTATAATTATGAGTATTTGGATGTATACGAGTTGCAACAACATCCTTAAGAGGATTTATAGGACCATTGTCAAGCTTCAATTTCCGAATAAATTGTTCACAGGAATTATGTCTACGCGTACTTAACTTTTTTAGACCAGTATAATTCAATGCGTCTTGATACGACATTTCGGGAAGCAAGATACGTAATGCTCTTCTCTGTATCGATTCGATAAGGTCAGACTGGCCTTGGGTCAGCGTTGACCACGCAGGTGAAGCGTACTCAATTCGGGACCGAATGAAGGAGGAATATATAGTGACAAGGTCTTTATCGCTTAACCCAGCCTTTTTTAACTTCCGCAATGCATAGAGTCTAGAATTTGCTTTTTTAATCACATAGTCGACATGATCACACCAAGATAGATCCTCTCTCAGTAGCACACCGAGCAGTTTAAAGGAGGATACTGATTGCACCGGCGAACCATCTATATAGATCGCATTATCAAGTGGAAGGTGGTATTGGAGGAAGGATATTGTCATCTCCTTACATTTCTTACTGTTAAGCTTCATTCCTCTACTTGAGGCATACTGAGATACATCATTTACGAGAATAGGTAGCAAGCTAGGAGAGCAACGTGGAACAATTTCTAGTGCAGTAGCATCGTCTACAAACTTTATCCGCCCATTCCAGTCCTGTAGGAGGGAATTGACTAAAATGGCAAAGAGAAGAGGGCCAAGTTTAGTTCCTTGAGGTAGGCCACCGTTAACGGGTTTCCATGAGGAAAAGGATGGTCCGATTTTAACACACTGTTCGCGGGAGGTAAGGAACGACTTTATCCATCTTATAATGGCAGGACTCACTTGTAATTTTAAAAGTTCATCAATAATGACATTATGGTCGACGAGATCAAAACCTTTTTTGAAATCAGCAAAAAAGATTCTTACAGAGCAGTGGCCTTGATCTAAAGCAGCATGAATCAAGTGTAGGAGATAAACGAGTGCCTGAGTGGTTGACTTTCCCGGAAGAGCAAATTGCTTTGGGTCCAATTTAAGACCCACTTCCGACATGAGGGACTGTAGCATAAATCCTTCCATCACTTTAGATACCTGAGCTGTGAGTGATATAGGTCTTAAATCGTCCTCAATAGTCTGAGGTGGTGACACTTTTGGAATGGGAACGACGATAGAACGTTTTAGCTGATCAGGGAAGACTCCCTGGAGCACTGATGTATTGTATATGTCCATTATGATAGGGGCAAATTCAAAAGCGAAGGTTTTCAGGATCCTATTTGGGATACCGTCTGGGCCAGGAGACTTCGTCGTTTTAAGACGTCGCAACACTGAATAAACTTGCCCTATATTTACGAGTAGATGGTTGGGAACTTCTGTCTCCTGGTCATCGGTGCATTCTAACAAGGGTTTAAAATGCGAAGTAAGTCCAACAAGATATCCGTTATATGACTCAGCAAGGTCCTCACAGGTGGGGTTTACTTCAGAAAGTAGTTGATGTACCCAAGATTCCCGAGAAGAGAGGCCCCCTATGGATTTAACCTCTTTCCACCATCTGGAAGGGTTTGCACTTTTCAACTTCTGCACGGAATTGGCATAGTACTTTCTACGTGCCACTTTAACATCCCGTTGAACTGTATTGCGCCAAAATCTATATGCTTGTGAATTTCTTCCGTACTTATGAAGTGATTTTTGTCGCTTACTAATGGAGGACTTAAGCGATGACGTCATCCATGGTTTATCAGATTCCCTAACACTAGTTGGTTTATTGGGGAAAAAACAATCCATCATTGCAGAAACTACCTCATTAAATCTCCGGTACTTCATGTTAGGATCAGGTATTTCGAATATCTCCGTCCAATCGGTAGATGTAATAGTCTGACCAAAATGTCTTATACTGCTATCTCTTAAATCTCTTTTGCATACTCGTTTATTACACGAATTATCCAGACGATCTTTATGGGGTTTTATTAAAATGGCATTATGGTCGCTCGAGCCAATAGGAGGAAGCTGGCTTACATCAAAAACGACTTTCTTGGCATTAGTGAGACACCAATCCAATATGGCGTTGTGACGTGTTGGGACATTAATAATTTGAGTTAAACCGGACAATCTTTTCAACCGTTTTTCATCAAATAATGTACTGACAGGGTTAAAATCCCCAGTCACAAACACGAGACCATCAGGATGCAGAGAAAGGAAGGATTCAACATTACGCTGGATATGGTTGTACAGTTCAAAGTTCTCGTTGGCGCCGGAGGAGGTGGTGTGGTAAATGACTGCAAGTAGAAGAGCGGATATAGATCTTGGTAAACGCTTAGGTCTAAGTAGTAACCATAGGGATTCAATGGCTGAATCCTCGAAATGCTCTAGCCTCCTACAGTAAATTTCTTCTTTAATATAAATGGAAACGCCGCCACCGCAGGAGTATGTGCGATCATTTCTGAATTGGATGAAGTTCGATAACGAAATCATTGAGTCCACAACAGAGGTGTTAAGCCAAGATTCAGTAATGCATATGACCTCAACTTGGTTAATTTGAGCTACCAACTCTAGTTCGTCTATTTTATTAATTATAGAACGGACATTGGCCACCAGCAGGGTAGGGAGCGGGAAATTGTTATCACGAGCTACATACGACGTGGAAGAGAGAGAGACAAGAGTAGTATATATAAACTTGGTATTTGAAATTTTTAATTTATAATTACTATTATATTCTTGTGGCATACAGCTATTTCAATCAAGGTTGTCCCTGAGCAAAGCGGAAAAGTCGAATACGAGCGCGGAAGGCTTGCTGGGAATCCCTAAAAAAACATTAATTTATTAGCAATTTCCAGCAAGCCTTTCGCGTTCTTATTCGACTTTACCGCTTTGCTGGGGACAACCTTAATTGAAATAGCTGTACATCACTTTAAAATGTTCCCTTTATCAATTTACAATGATTTGTAAACACAATGAGCGCAAAGTCATTGATGTGTATGTTATAAGTGAATTACTTCATGTTTTGTTTGTATAAAGTCCGTATTGTAATTGGTTAATTTTAGTCACGTGAATTGCCTTGTGTGATTCGTGGCTGAACCCTTGAACAATAGCTCAGTGTTGTATGTCAGAGAGAGACGCACGGGTGTGCAAATTTATGTCGCACATAATTTAAATAAAACTTTATAAAAATCAAGAGAAGGTCTTGCTTTTTAAGTGGAGCCCGACAGGGGACACTTGAACAATCTAATCGGTTAAAGAACTATAAGTCTATAACGGCGGTGAAATATTCAGACGGCGACAGCGAACATTGTTGTTAATAGTGCCCTTCAAGTGTCATTCTCGCAACCTCGTTCTTCTCGGTGAAAGGTTGCAGGTCTGTTGTCTTGGTAGAGGTAACTTCTTTATTTATTCGGTCGAAATTAACCTTAGGCTTTCTTTCTCACTTGCGTATATTTTGCGTTGTAATTGTTTGTGTTTTTAGTGTATATATCTGTTGTTTAATTGACGTCTAGTCTATTGACCACGTGCTCGGTATATAGTAGGTTAGGTGGCGACTGATTTAGGTAAAGTTAAAGGTAGACTCGCCGGTCTTTCAGCTTATTTAAAAATCCTTTTACAAGAACTAGACCAATATGTTTCTTCTGAAAACTGTGAGCAAGCGAATCTTTTGGGGTTGAGAAGTACTGTTTCGAGTATTCTTGAACAATTGGCTGTTGTTCATAATGAAATTATTAACATGCTTGATCCAAAAGACATATGAAAGCGTTAGAACCCAGCTATCATGTTTTGGCGAAAGTAGACTTAAGGCTAGCTGCGTTTAATCAAAGTACGAAGCCAATAAATACCTTAGGTGCTTCAGATGGTAACAACGTTCAGGCGCAGGGCAGCGCAGTGCATTGTAGATTACCTAAAATGCAATTACCAGAGTTTTCAGGAGACCCACTGGCATGGCAAAGTTTTGGGACCAATTCCAAGTAGCAATTCATAGTAACACACGTATAAGTGACATAGACAAATTTAATTACCTAAAGGGATGTTTGAAAGGGGAAAGTTTATCTGCTGTATCAGGTTTAACTTTGAACTCAGAAAACTATCAGGAAGCAATAGAAACTTTGAAAGGCAGGTTTGGAAATGAACAAATCTTAATATGTGCTCACATGGAGTCACTATTGAGGATCAGTAAGATAGCATCTAGGGATAATATTAAAGAGCTAAGGATGCTTTATAATCATGTAGAGAGTTGTGTAAGAAATTTGAAATCCCTTAAACTTGACACATCTGGTTACGGCTCATTGCTAATTCCAATCTTAAAAGATAGATTGCCTGACGAAATTACCATGATTATTTCTAGAAAATTTGGCGAGGAGATCTGGACACTTGATAAAGTCATGGAATATTTTAATAGTGAGCTTCGAGCGCAATAGAATTGTAGTGCATCCACTTCGAATAGATCTATCCAGAAAGAATCGCAAAGGAAGGGGGGATATTATACTACTAGTGGTTTGTTTGGTCAGACCAATAAGGTTGCATGCGTTTATTGTGGCAAGGAGGGACATTCATCATCCAAATGCAGTAGTGTTTCGAATTGCCAATCCCGAAAGGCCATTCTCCGTAGAAACAAGCGGTGTTTTATATGCTTAAGCTTGCTTAGATACTGGACATATTGCCAAAAATTGTAAGTCCCATTACTTATGTAGGAAGTGTAAGACTGGCAACAGCACCATATATCCATATGCGAATATACACCAGCAGATCCCCCAGGTATAAATCGGGAGGAAGATAAGAACGCAACAACTAATGATAACAAGGGTTTTGTGGTACATGCTAACTGTGATAAAAGCGGTATACTGTTGCAAACAGCTAGAGCGGATATATTACCTACAGATGACAGTGTGCAAGTCCAGACTAGAATTTTATTTGACAGCGGTAGTCAGAGGTCGTATATAACTGACAAGGTTAGAAGAACACTCAAATTGAAGGCAATTAGAGTGGAGAAAGTTGTAATCAAAACCTTTGGGCAGGCTGAGAATAGTGAGGTACAGGAACTTGATGTAGTTCAACTTAAGGTTAGAAATAAAGGTGATGCTAGATTTACATTTGTAGAAGCCCTATGTGTCCCAACCATATGTAGTCCGCTGACACATCAGCCCCTGTCAAGTGTGCATGAATTACCGAAATTTGCAGGGTTGGAATTTGCTGACTTTGAGCACAAGCAACACCAAAATCTTCCGGTCGGCATTTTGACTGGCATCGATTTTTACCATGTCTTTATGACTGGTAAGGTTATAAGAAGTAAATTAGGCCCTGTTGCATGTAAAACTAGAGTGGGGTGGGTACTAGAGTGGTAGTGGTCGAATTGGCTCAAGTGCATCAGATATGCATTGTTTTGAAACGCATTTGCTACACTGTTAATTTCGAGGAGTCAAATTGACTCCAAAAGTGGAGTAAATAAAAAAGGTACAGAACGACTCCTTTTTTTGGGTAAATTTTACTCCCTTATTTACTCCATTTTTGGAGTAAATTTTACTCCATAAGTAGAGTTGTTTTTACTCCTCAAAGAGTAAAAACAACTCTACTTAAGGAGTAAAATTTACACCAAAAATGGAGTAAATAAAGGAGTAAAATGTACTCCAAAAAAGGAGTCGTTCTGTACCTTTTTTATTTACTCCACTTTTGGAGTCAAGTCGACTCCTTTGGAGACAAAATGACTTCTATATATCGGAGTAAAGAAAAGTCTTTAACTAATTTTAGAAATCAATAAAGACATTTTTCGAGTCAAAATAATTTATTATCCCTACAAGTAAGGTATATTATAGCAGGAAATACAATTTGCTGTAGCATAATATAATGAAATACTCTTACGCCCTATAATATTTTAATGAAGTTCTAAATTGATTAGAATGATATCATGAATACATGATTAGAATGATATCATGAATACATGTGCAATACAATTACAAGCCTGTCAGCATGAATTGAACCTGCAGCCCTGCAATTCTACCGCAGCCCTCCGACCTAAAGAGCCCTTTTGCCAAGAGGTAACCACAAGTTGTTGTATGTATACCATGGTGGTGTCATTGGTCGTGTATTAATTAAATAAACTGCCCAGGATGACACTAGTATTATATACATGAACTCTTGGTTACAGTAGAGCTTGATTGACTGTCAGGGCGATGGACTCTTAGGGCTTCAGGATCTTTGACGGTTAAAAAGCTGATCAGAATCACCTGTAGGGCAGCAGGTTCCATTCCCAGCACAGTACCGGCTATTACATAGTCATCGTTCAAAAAATTTACATTTACAGAAAAGCTTTAACCCATTAAGTGGCAGCACTCTCTCCTTAATGAGCAAAAATTGTCTGACCACATTTGACAGAAAAAATAAAAAAGTAAAGCAAATTGCCACTTAAAGGGTTAATATTCTGTTCAATGTAGAATCTTTACAAGTAAAATATACTGCATGTACTAAATGTATGTAGTGTCACTTCTCAATCAAACATGTCAAGCAAGTCCATTAGTAAAAATTTAGTACAAAACAAGCTGTATACCACAAGTCGGCAACTCCATCCCTTGGATGGTTTGGTAATTCACAAAAATGCTCTCCAGCAAAAGAATAACATTTTCCAAATAGACCATGAAGTTCTTAGAATGCCATTAATGATTACATATAATACCACTTGTTTTGACAACTTGCCTTCTCCTGGGAAGCTTTTGTTAAATCCATATATTAATGAGAATCCCTAGTAAGAAAAAAATATATAAGGTTGATATATAACAGCAGCAAATTATTGATTGATGTTTGTGATTTTACTCTGAGTGTGCATCCACACCGGCCAAGCTGAAAAGTTAGTTTGGGCACGGTGGGAATCGAACCTGCGGCCTTTGGGATACTAGTCCAATGCTCTGCCAACTGAGCTACATGGTCAAGTCTGTTCGAGTTGATGATATTTCGGAACTGAGTCTAGTTCCTTCGATATCAGTGTACAGGGGTATTCAATGATACGATTATTTTGTGTGTGTTGGTGTCATGTACTCAGGTGAATATATGATGTTTGTGATGTTACTCTCACCAGTAGCGTAGCCAGCCCGACTATTTGGTCGCGCTATGCAAATATTTTCATGTTCATTGACTGTGAAAACAATAAATTTCTAGAGAAATGAATAATGATAATTTTGAATTTGCATAGCGGGACTAAATTGTCGGGCTGGCTACGCCACTGACTCTCACTGAGTGTGCATCCACACTGGGCAAGCTGAAAAGTTAGCTTGGCCACGGTCACAGGTTCGATTCCCACTGTGGCCAAGCTAACTTTTTAGCTTGCCCGGTGTGGATGCACACTCACAGTAACATCACAAACATCATATATTCAAGGTCTGAGTACATAACACCAACACACACAAAATAAAAATTATTGATTGATTGACAATGAATTTGCGATTTTTGTTTTTTTGCATACATACATGCAAAGCAAGAAATACAAAATTCAAATGCTT